GTGGCATAAAAAAAGACTTGCGTAGCATATAACGGTTACAGTAACTTGGGACGATGTCAAATAAGAGCTCTGTGCGGACCACAAACACCTCCGACAGGGTTAGAGATGTGGCTGAATCCGTATTCAGAAAGGCGCAGAAAACAAATAACGCGTTCTACGGGGCCACTAAAGTGACATGGTTAGCCGCTTGCTAACGGTAGCCTGTTACATTACAGTACATAACATTTCACTTACCACATAAACAGAGTAAGGAGAGATGACTGATAGGATGATGGCGAATGATTTGCAGATCCTGAGCACCACTGACAAACATCTAATCTTGTAAAATGTGTGGTAAGTACAGCCGAGTGCTGCTCCATACATGTGATCGCGAATCTCGAAAGTGAAAGTAAAAAACAAGCGTGCGTTCAAAAGCTATTTAAATAATGGCTCCCTGATGCCCGCAGTTCATATACAGTGTAATTACCCAACAATATAATTGCAACAGAAGATATTGAAGTATATTTTTCCTCCCATCTCGTATCTATTCCCTTTAGGCGTTCCATTTTTTTAAATGGAAAACAAATGCCCTAGCCTTATGAGCAGTTAATTTATGCTAATCGATGGACTGTTATGTTAATAAGTGCCATCATTCGGTTGTGTTTATTATATTAATATGTTTCAGCACGTTACAATCATTATATGGCTTGAGTTAAGGTAGCCTATCTTCTGAATTAAACGGTTTATCATACAGGTCGAAAGTGTGAATCCCATCTCTCTCAGTTTATGGGTGTTTGTGCGTGCATGCGGGGGAGGGGTGCGACTTTCGAACAATAATCGAATAATACCCTGCGATTTTCGAATATTATTTTTGCTTGGAATGCCCATCCCTACTTAGAACTCGGCTCAACCAATCAGAATTAAGGCCGAAACTATCCGTTTTATAAGTCATTTTTCGTCCGATTTCAACAAATCATACATCATTCTCAAGATCTTTTAATGGAGAATGTGAAAATAAAAACTAATTTTTGAAAATGTGCTCATTGTGACTCATTTTGCCAGCACAGGTCACATTTTATCAAAGATAGTGATATGACATTTATTAAAAAAATAAATAAATTGGGATCACACCTGAGACCTTTGTGCCCAAATTTGTCTATGAAGAACCAATTAAGAGCTGCTATACGAAGGATGCTTGAGGGTTAAAACTAATCTCACTACATTACTTATGTGATTGCAGTGCAAATTCATCTATCTACTTCTTCAGACAGCATTTTCTGTGCCACTTCTGGAGTGCAAAAATGGATTTTGATTGGTAACAGCCTATAGTGTCTTATTCCTATTGAATTTGATTAAATGCAATAAATTGGCAAAAAAAAAAAAAAGTATAAAAGCCTCAGAAAAGTGTAAGATGTCAAACATTGTCCCTTTAATTTTTTTAGTACCACCTCGGTTGAGGCTCCAATGGCGCTTTTCCACTGCGTGGTACGACTCGGCTCGGCTCAGTACGGTACGGTACAGCACGGCTCGGGTTGCGTTTCCACTGCAGTTCAGTACCGCTTTAGAATGGGCGGGATTATTCACATGTCTTCATGTCACATGTGTCGCAAGTTCAGAACCGTACCGAGCCGTACCGTGCCATACCATGCAGTGGAAAAGCACCACAAGTGAACCATACAGTTACCAAAACGTGACGTGTAAACTCTACTGATCACGGATTGGCTGGAGAGAATCGTCACTACCTGCGTCACTGAACTTGCAACACACAAACACAACGGAACCGCTAGATTTAAATCGGCACAGCCAGCGAAGGATCGAACGCAACTGTTTTGAACGACCAAAAAGTGGCTGTTTTGTTGTCTGTTGAGGAAGTACAGACGTCCCTCTTGTTGATAGCAGAGGAGCGGATCCAGCGAGAGCTTGATGGGGCGACGCGGAATGAAAAAGTTTTTCAGGAGTCGCGGCGCAACTATAACGACATGTGAATAATCCCGCCCACTCTAAAGCGGTACTGAACTGCAGTGGAAACGCAAACCGGTCCGTGCCGTACCGTACTGAGCCGTGCCGAGCCGAGTCGTACCACGCAGTGGAAAAGCACCATTGGTGTACCTTCTGTATGAACCTACTGAGGAGTATTTAGTGTGAACTGAACCGTTACTGACCTCTGGGACGTAGTTATCCCGTCTCTCTCTCTCCTCCTCCTGCAGTTTGATGGAGATGCCTCTGACAGGACCCCTCTGAATGCGCTTCATCAGATGGGTCACATACCTGCAGAGAGACCATATATATGAATGAATAATGCCTACATAATAACAGCCCACAAGACCATCTTTTGTAGAGCCCTGATTACCATATTCATTATTTTATAAATATTTATTTTTCATGGCACTTTCACTCACCCCGCGATCTTGTTGCGCAGAGGTTTGCTGGGGATGATGGCGATCTCCTCACACACCCTCTTGTTGATGTGGAAGTCATTGCCCAGTCGGGTGTAGTACTTCTCGATGACCACCCGAGCGGCTTTCTTCACAGTCTTGGTTCTCACTCGCCCCTGTCAGCACACACACTAAACTCAGTCAAAGGAACATGGGACATTTTTGTACTTGTAGATCGGAGCGGTGACGTCCTACATTTCCAGAATTCACATTATGCATCAACAATCACATTACGAACACACTCACTAGTATATCTCACACTAGTTTAGGACACGTGAATAACGGCTATGGCTTTAATAACCGTCTTTCCATCAACACATGAACATGACATCTCAAAAGCGTCACTTATATCTCGTGAGCTCTTTGCATACGTTCAAAGTATCCAAACAGTTCTATACATTTCAACATATTATTGGCTCTCGCGAGCGGACTCAATCATCTGAACCCGCTTCCGTGGGAAGGTTGTGAAGCGGGAAATGATGCGGAGTTGTTTTTCGAACATCCTACATTCCCGCAGCTGCCAAATGTCAAAATACTCAGTATATACGAATCTTGAGAATACTAACAAAACATTCTGGTGATTTTAAAAACGTGACGAGACGATGAAACAAGTGATTACGACGGATTGACAAGCGTTCACTTTGAAACATACACACCATATTGATCCGGTCTAGAAGAAAAGGGTTAAAAACAGAACGAAGCGGAAATTTATAAAGCTCTTCCGGAAATGACATAGAAGTCTCCGAACGAGAAACATAACCTGCTTCAAATAAACCGGTAAAAAAAATAAAAATAAAATTAGTTTTAACAACAACTTGCACAAATTACACAACACAATAAAGTTAAAAAAGGCTACAGAAAAAAACCCTAAAAACTGCAAAATATATCATTTTATGAGATTGTATAAGCCAGTATGCCTTCCAAAATATATTAACAAATAAATAGTGCTGTCAAACGATTAATCGCGATTAATCGCATCCAAAATAAAAGTGTTTGTTTACACGTGTATATTTATTATGTATATATAACTACACACACATACAGTATATATTTGAAAATATTTACATGTATATACATTTATATTCTTATATATTTAATATATAAACATTTTTCTGAAATATACAAATACATGTGCTTGTATTTATATATACATAATAAATATACACAGTACACCCACATATATTATGTACGCACAAAAACAATTAATCGTTTGACAGCACTACAAATAAACTTTCAAGTCTTTGTTTGAAGTAGGCTGCAATATTTGATCAATAACATCGATGTAATGAGTAAAAGATTCATCTGCTAACAGTAGCACAAAAAGACTTTATCCTTACCCTATAAATATTAGCAAAATAAATAACTTAAAGACCATACATATATTTTAAAATGTATTTTGGCAAAAATAACTGATGTCCTCTTTTTGTGCGTAATTTTATTTACAAAAAAAAAAAATTGCAATCTGCTGTATATTTATGTGTACCTGTAATTAATAAACAGATTGCACTCATAAGCCACAATGGTAATTTCATAAAATCTTTTTTTTTTTCCAGGCCAAGGTTTTAGGACACAAATAACCTCTAAAAAAAGACAGACACGTTTTCACTCAGCGGTTAAGAGACATTTTCTTTTATTTTACATAAAAAAGGGTGCAAACTGGAGTTTCCCTTTAAGAGTGGAGGGAATAAAAATTTAATTTGAAAGGTTATGTATGGAATTGTATATGACTCCTCAGGAAAATAGGCATTTTAAATAAGATTAAGATTAAGGCCTTAATCTTTCTGCAACTTAAAAACAAAATGTATTTTGAGAGAGAGGAGGAGAAAACTAAACGGGTCCATCACAGTTGAAGCCCTTGACAAAGTAAAATCATTGAAATACATTTAAGCAACATTCATATTTCAACACAATAAATTCATAATACAATGAAATTTAAAGTATCTTTGTAAGTATGACCAGAACAAGAGAATGACTCTTGCATTGCTGTACAATTTAGTTTTTAATATGTTTGAAGTACAGAAACATCCTTACTGAAAGAAACACTACAAAAACGTGAAAAAGACAATTCAAATATTGCAGTGCTTTCCTACCAGACTCTTGTGATATAATCATTCCGAGGTCATTAAAAATGAGCAGTTACCCAGATCAGACTGTTCATTTAAAAAAAAATAAAAAATCTTGAGACAGGAATGATTACATTTTTCAGAGAGAAAAAAAGCTATGACTGTAGCAGACACAATGGAAGGGCAATACAGTATTCAGCGGCAAAATAGTACGCAGTAGACATTTACCTGCTGAACTCAAGCGTACAGAGGCGTCAGACTTGCAGTAG